TAAAACATAATTGTATCAATACCATTACTCCTATTATCTTATATAAACTTGAAGTTGAATAGCACATTGCAATAGCACCTTTAAACCTGGCATAAAGCCCGCAATTTGGGAAAAATCAGGACCAGAAACCAGCTGGGTATGTAACTGTAAACCACCCATATAATCCCCAGATTCTACTAATCGAACCATTTCATGTAGTGCTTCTAATGTGTTTGGTGATAACTTATGTAAAAAAAAGGATATTATTTAATTAATTTAACAGGTAAAGTACTAAGAGAATTATACATACCTTTTGGTCCCTCAAAAGATCGTACAATACTTCTAATTTCCTCGACACTTCTTCCAATTTTCTTTTCGTTTGCTATTCAATGAAAAAATATAAAAAGTAGTTAAGGAGGGGATGATAATAATTATTTTTATTTATTCGTTTAACTCACCGGATTATTGGCAACACACAAACACCTACTCCTGAGTTCGTCAAGAACAATTTGTATTTTTTGGTGTTCGTCTGGAACGGGAGGTTTTTGAATGGGTTCAGGTTTCGCATACGCAACCTCGGCCACCTGTGGCTGAGGTGGTATATCCCCAAATGTTGGGGTCATCGTATTCTGATTAAAACCAGTCTGATTAATCATTTGAGAGTTAAAAGTAGACGTTGGAGGTGCAAACGATTGTTGCTGGGGTATAAACGGATGTTGCTGGGGTGTAAAAGGCTGCTGTTGGTTTTGATTTTGCTGCTGTGGTTCAAAATTTTGAACAAAAGGCGATGGTTGTGAATTAGGAGGGTTGTATAATCCCGGTTGAAGACTAGGATACGTTTGAGCAGCATTAGGTATAGGTGCATATGAATTGGAGGGTTGGGAAGCGTTTAGTGGCTCATTCGAGGGAAAGGGTTGATGAGTAGGAGCAGAAGATCCATACAGTGGATGAGTTATAGGGTCCTGTTTAAGGGGTTCTGCTCTCTTTGGCTGTAATAAAAGAAAATATATTCAAAAATATGCTCATTAGGGAATATTATTGTTTCTAGGGCAATCTTAAAACACATTAGTCAGTTAAGGAGAGGCATTTAAAGCAAATACAACAGGCGAGGGATAATGTTAAATTTATTATTAGTCATTATTATAGTCCTAGTGTTTTATACCAGGGCTTTAGTAAAACTTGGTTTTGATGTTTTATTAAAGAAAGAGGGTAATAATTTTTTTTTTTTTAATTTGTACACCAATCAACGTTGTAGGATATTAGAACAATAAATTAAGGCAAAAATTAAACTGTAATGTGCCTTTTCATGTTGCACACTTCATTTCTTAAAAAATACCTTTCTCCATAATTTCACACCTGAATGTTCAGCTGACATAATACTGGCTTCTCGTATGAACTTGAAATGAAAAACATAAATCGAATTTGGGAACTAAAACCTCTTTTTTTCTTTTTAATAATAATAGACAACTCCAGAATTAAGAAAGTAAACAGCATAAGAATAAAACAGAAATAATCTTTGAAATTTACCTGCATTCTTGAAGCTTTATGTAAAACGGGAGGATCGTTCCATCCTGGGGCTACAGTGGAAGGTAATGAGTTCATTGCAGAGATTGCTGGTTGTGCAATCTCTTGATAACCAAATGCTTGATCTCCAGCCCCACCGATGGCTTGAAACGTTGGCTGAGTACTTATTGGTGCATTATTATAACCTCCCGAAGGAATCAGGGGAGAAGGATTTAAAGCAGGTGCGGGAATAGGTGCTGGAATTGCTGGGGAAGACATCGAAGGTGGTAAAAGGGAACTTTGAGGCACTGGTCCAGCAGCAGAATAAGACGAAGGCTGTCCATATAACGTACTATTGTTTGCATTAGCCAAAGCGTCTGTTTGGAAGTTGTTGGTGTTAAAAAGGGCTGGGGATGATACAGGATTGGTACCAAAAGAGCTGGGTGTCATGTAAGGATTGCTGGGGTTTACAGAAGGATCCAACACGTATTTACTTCGAGTTCTAATACCAGAGTCACCTACGACAAAAAAAAATAAAACAAATGTTTTTAGGTATTAATTAAGGACTTACCATGAGCTGATCCAACGCTACCGGGTCTTGGGGGTTGCGGAGGTGCAGCTGAAGGAGCAGGAGAATAAGTCTTAGGTGGTGGGCCTCCCATGGGCGCTGGTGCAGGCACCTGGGGCTGCCAGGGTTGACTAGAAGTTGCGGCATTTGGAAGGCCAGCGTTGAACTGACCAAAACCAGCTGGTGTTGGTTTGCCAAACTGGTTGGAGGATGTAAATTGATTCTGGGTACTGTTATACATTCCAAAGTTTTGGGTACTGCCCCCTACGTAACTAGAAACAGAATGGCGAGACCTTTGTGTTGTTAACATAGGCTTTTTGCCCAAGGTGACGTGAAGGCGATCCCTAAGATCATTAATTTTCTGATTCTGGGAAGTACCGAGATAGTTTAGGGCTGTAGATAAACGGCCCTGAGAAGCTAAAAGCATGGCGTAATGGGAAAGAAGTGAAGCCAGATTTCCTGTTATCTAAATAGAAAAAGTAAACAATTATACAATTCAATATTGCAGTCAATAAAAATTGTTTACCTCGACTGTTCTTCCTTGACGTTCAACAGCTTTTTGGAGGAACGTAACAAGCTCAACCAACTCTTGAAGATTTTCAGTAGATTTATTAGCAGAGTCAGTCCACGAAGCTACAAGTCTTTCAAAATCTCCGGCACATATATAACACAGTTGGGCATCTCTTGTAAGCATGGGATCTCCTCTACTTTCTTCTTCTAGTCTGTTTGCTAACTGTTCTACAAGTTAGTACATTTTTAAGACAAAATAAATAGTTAAAGTGTATATGTTTAATTTTACTTACCACAAAGTCCTGGCAAATCTTCGTTAGAGGCGTGAGTAAGCAGAGCCACAAGGGCTTCTTTCCAACTGGCAATGTCACAACCTGTAGTTATCGAAGACCAATCTTCTGATACAATAGCAGAAATTAAAGAAGATACATAACCGTCACTTTTCTCTAAGTATCTAAACTGAGTTCTTGCCAGTAAATCTGAACCACCTGCAGAAACAAGATACTAAATGTATAAAATAATTATACATTCAGATTTTTTTAAATTTAAAATCAAAATTTACCAGTCATTGCAATAATAATTGCATCTGCATATCGTTCAGCCCTAAAACATAATTCCACTGCAGCCTCTGTATTTCCCAAAAGTAACGCCTGCGTTATCAGTCCATCTGTGTCTATAAAAAATTGCTTCATTTTAATATTTTGCTAAATATTAAATTCAATACTATCTTTTTACCATCTCCAGTTTTTATTTTAAAAGGCACACTACTACGAAGTGATTTGTTAGTTGCTGATATTTGATTCTGTAGAGGGGCACCATCAAAAGGACTGGGCTGAAATAATTCAACAAATAATAACAATCACATTAATTACAAAACGCATGTTAAAAATTAATTTAAAAGAAAACACAAGAAGGATATCTTCACCAATGTATTTGTTGACTTGACAATATTGTTTCGATCTAGATTAACACAATACACTTGATAAAGGTACTGTCTAGATGTAAAACTACATTTTATTAGTACACAAATCAGAGACAGATAGAAACAAGCAAACAGAAAGATGGTAGAGGTAAAACAGTTATTTTTTGGAGAAAAAGACAGACATAAATTAAAAAACAGATTTACTGGAAGGCACAGGACACCCAAAAAGCTTACCCAACGTATCTCAGGACTAACACTCTGAGGTCTGTCAATTTCTTCGTCATATTCATAATAACTATACTAGAAAATAATTAGTGAGCAGTTGTTAATAAAACACTTGAAAAATTAGATTGCAATTAACCAATGAAAGCCAACACAGAAGAAACATGGAAGCAAGTTGTTATTTACAATGAAATCAATATTAGCAAAAAATAAAGTTTTCAGTAACACTGAAATTATTAGTGGCTAATGGTATCAATAGAAATCATAAACAAACTTTTGAAAGCACTTATTACCTGACAAACAACAGAAAAAACTACAACATAAAACTTATTACTTAAAAAGTAAAATTAAAAAACTTGTAGTTTCTACACGATTTTATTATTCACTTTACATATATATGTTTCGCCACCTTACGAATAATAAAATGTTGTGGAAGTTACAAGTGATTCAATTTAACTAAGCAAAAGTAAATTCAATTAATTGTGTTACTTTAGTATAGCCAATTTCTTGTTATTAGTATAGGAAATTAATAAACTAACTAAAGGATTAAAAAATTACGTACTTTATTTAAATTGTTTAATTGGTCAGACAGTCCATCAACATCGTTATTCAAGTCGGTGCTGTTAGTAAACTCGCTCAGTTTCGAATTGACATCTTCAGCTTTGTACCCTAACAAATTCAGAAGTTCTGCCCTGGTATTCTCTTCAAAATAAGCCTTCAAAAAGTACCATATGTACCTTTTGTGCTGATCAGTCAATGATTCTGCTTTATTTCGACAATATTCTAAAAAAAGTAGATAATTTTCAATTTAAACGTGAACAATACTAAGGAAAAATATTAATATAATTTTATATTGAGGATAAAAAGGTTCAAAAGAAGACAGTTTCAACATCATTTTACCATTTTTATGGATGTTTTTTTGTGGAACACTCGCACCATAAGGGTAATTTTGGTAATTTTTACCCTTTTAAGTAAGTACAGAAACCAAAAATTTTATAATTACCTGAGTAATTTCCATACTGTAAGGCTTGTTCTAATTCAACCGATTTTTGGACAAGTTCTTCTTCAGTAATAACCTGACTTACAAATACAATTCTCTTTTGAACTACATGAGCCTGACCCTGTTGTTGACCATGTAGTTGTTGCTGTTGCTGCTGCTGCTGGCTTTGCTGAATGATGGTATTTTCAAAAGTTATTAGCTTTCCACCAAACTAAAGTTCAAAGATTATTAAAAATATAGTTAAAAAAATTATATTCATTACATACCCCAAAACTAGCTCCCACAGGCCTTTTAAACCACTTGGGAGGCTTACTTAAGTCACTGAAAACACTTGTCACACTTTCTTGTAATACTGGAGCTTCCATGTACCCTTCCATGCCTGGAAAACTGTCTGCAATTTTTTTGGTTGTTTGAACTTGAGCTGTTTTACCTGGAAAACGAATATAAATTTAAAAAATATCATGATGTAAAACGTGAAAATATTTTTTATACCTCCTAGTAGAGAATATACTGTTACATGTCCATCAAAATTGGGACAGGCAATTAATGCTGGATTTCTAGGACACCAGGCAATGTCAAAGTTCCACTGATTAGTTTTTGCAATTTCTGCTAATACTTCACCATTTGGAGCATTGGAATTAGGATCCCAACAAATTATTCGATTATCTTTGGCACAACTAATTAAAAGATCAGAATCTTTTTGACACCAAGCTAGAGATAAAATGCCTCTTTGATGGTTTTCCAGTGTTTTTAATGGCGATGTTGCAAATCTTAAATCCCATAACTGAATTATTGGAGCATGGTCCTCCTCTATAATACAAAATAATAATTATAATTGAGATACTTGTTATGTACTAATTAAGTAATATATTTGTACCAGATGCAAGACAGAGTTGAGTGGCAATTTCTGGATGCCATGCAACAACTTTCCACCTGATCCTTGACACAGTATCTGTTAATTTAATGATAGGTTCATTCTTACGCAAATCCCATACCACACATTTAGAAGCAAATGTAGAAGCCAAAATATGCTGCACTTGTTTGTTCCATGCAATACTCACTACATCTTCAAATGGCTGAGATTTAACTCCTAAAAAATATGTACTTATTTACCTTCAAGAATAATGTTTACATGATTATATAACTCACCTGGTGTCATGGGTGTGGTGGTATTGTTTAAGTCCCAAATATAAATTTCTGACTCTGCAGCCCCAGTGGCCAACAAATTTCCTTGGAAAGGATTAAAATCTACAGCATGTACAGGACCACTGTGCTTCTTGGGACATGCTACTAAGCCACTGTCACCAGATAATAACTGTGACACATTGTAAATTTGTATAACACCTCCATCACAACCTCCAACTATAGTACCACTGGTCTGATCTTTTCCATAAGGACCCCATACAATTTTATGAAATCTATGTTCACTTGGGGTACTGACCTTCAGGTCTGCATCCAATCCAGGTTCTGACAAATTAAGGGAGTAAATTTCTAGGGCTGCATTTGTATTAAAAGAGGCATCTAACTGCTGTGCTGCAGTCCCTGCTGCTAGCAATATTGGATATTGATTTATAGGAGACCATGCCACATTAGCGGTCCTTTCAATATCCTTTACTTTCATGGCAATTAAATGTAATTCTACAAAAAAGACATCATTTTACAAAAATTATTGTGCTACCAAGGTAATTTTGTTCAGAAAAGATTAATGTATACGTTTATAAACTAATTATGAGGGAGTGTATTTAAATGCATTTTAATTACCTTAGACTAAGAAATAGGAAATTTTACAAGTTTTAAAATATGGACATAACTTTGCAGCAACATCTAAACTTCACATGAACTGTCATCAGTTCCAACGTGGCCTAATGACACTTACTGCAACGTTGTCAGTTATTAAGGAAGAGATTTTAAGTTATTCACCATGAATCGTCAGGATATGGATTGGAGATTGGAGCTAAATCATACAAATTGATAAATATGATTTGAAACTTTTAATTTTAATGATGGACCTGTACTAAATCTTTGCAAAGGTCTTATTGACAACTTTTAATTTGGTTTATAACTTCTGTACACTCTTGGTTGAATATAAAATAGATAAAATGATAATAAAATCATGGACAATAAAGAATGCAATGAGAACATATTTTAAAATTTTAAAAAGTGTTAATGGATTGCCCTTTTAAAGGTTGTCGATGAAAGAATAATGTAGTACAGATAAGTACATTAGTTTTCCTTTTTTGAGCAATTATGTCCATTATTATGGTAGATATTCCCAAGTCGAGTATGAGCTTCTCTTCTAAAAATTAATAAAATGGAATTGAGATAAACAGATGAGCCCTGAAAGTGACCAATTAGGCCAGTGATAAATATCACAAAAAGTTTAATACTCTTAAGATTTACAAGACTACATACTTCAAAAAGCAACATCGGAAAAATGGAAGAAGTTTGGACTCAATTAATTTCTCACCATAAGTAAATGCGTTATGATTTGACAACGTTGTACAGACAACAAATATTATCATAACCTATAATTTATTAACATAACCTTTAATAATATACGTAAATACTAAGTAATTATAAGCCTAATTAAACATTAAAAAATTAATAAAACTGTAGAATTTAAAATGGTAGAGGATACCTCTAACAATAATTATAAACCAAAGGTATTTACTTACTGCAAATTTTATGTTTTCAAATTTATACATAAGCCCCTTTCAGGTCAAAACTAACAATAACAGGCCCAAGTCAGTTTATTCATGGACCGTAAATGATGTTCAAAAATGGTTGAGAAGGCACTGCAGTGATTATTATCAGCAGTATGGGACTCTTTTTTCCCAACACGAAATTATTGGAAGAGCACTTTTACGATTAAATGACAATTCCCTTCTGAGGCTTGGCATTAAAGATTCAAACCACAGAGAAGCTATTTGGAGAGAGATTTTAAAGCTAAGGTTAAAAACAGACATAATGGAGATAAGAGACCTTCAACGTCGTGAAATTTATAGTATGGCTTATGATTACTATATCGCCTAACTAAATGATATATTTCTCTATTGCTAAGCATATTGTAATGTTAAAATGTTTAATTACTGTATGTTTTGAATTATTTATTGATGGAAAAATATAAATTATTGTATATAGTTTGCTTTTTATTTATAAAAAATAACAGAAAATGAATTTCATTCTGAAAGGTATTTACACATTGCAAGGCAATTCTTTAACAAATTTTTATATTTAATAAGGTACAAAAGTAATGAAAACTTCCAAGTACGTATATTAGCACAAATTTCCCAAACAGTCTCTTAGAAAAGTATCAAAAAGTAAAATAAGGAAACTAAAATCAAATAAAGTAAAAGTTATATCCAGTCTTTTTCTTAAAAGTACTATTTGGGAAAGAAAGACAATCACTGTTGTCTCTTTTATAATAATCTTTGCTAATATTCTTATAAGTAAAGTGAATAAATATTGAATAAATTAACTAATATCTAAAGGAATGTAAACACTCACTATAAAGTAACACAGACAAATGGCACAAAATCACCTTCAAAATAAACATTAATTCTTATAAAAAGACATCACAATAACTAAACAGCTTTTTATTGCTGTTCTTCATTACTTTTGGTTTCTTCTTTTTTTTCTTCGGTTCTCTTTGCTTCAACTTTACGAATCGCTTTCTTCGACATTTCGCTTTCATACTTTTCCTCTTCACTGTTTGTTTCATTTTCATGGTCATCGTTTTCTTCTGTTTCGTCATCGTCCATCATGTATTTCTTAATGCCTTGTTCTAATACTGTTCTAAGAATTTTGCTGTCTTTTAAAATATCCAAATTTCCACCACCGGCTGCTCTTTTTCTACCATTTTTGAAAATAGAAGAACAATTTATTTCTTCAGCAGCATTTAATAGATCCTGATTAGAAGCAAACGCTAGCCTTTGAAGAATTGCACCAACAATTGGAACCAATGTTAAAAGCTGTGATCCAACAGCACGGTCAAATTCCACTTTCTGCTTTTCTAATTCAAGTCGCTGTTTTTCAACGTCTAACGATTGACGTTGAGTATCTAATAGGTCTTTTAACACGTTGCATAGCTCTGAAAAGAAAAATATATTTGTTGTGCGCAACATTGAATTTTTTTTGTATTAATTTAGGTTAATTCTCACTTTATTTCCCCTTTTTGTGCTTGTAGTTAGCAAAATACTTTCATATATTAAATGTATTGAAATATTTACGCAATTTGACCAGATTAATAGATAATATTTGGTAATATGACTCCAAATTTGTAAAACCCAAAGAGCGTTAATTTAAAAATACCGCCTTTAGAATGCAACAATAAAAACCAGTCGGCCATCTTAGGCTAATGTATTTTGGCGCTGTTTTTGAATTTCCCGTGTGAAAAGAATAATGCAAATCGGTTTACTTCGTAATTAATAAATATAATTAAACATTTCTTGGCATCACCCTTGAAAACTATGAAAACTATTCCAAAAAAATGTGTAAATAAATACGCATAGGTTGTTTTAAAGACATCCCAGGAATATGCTGCTAAAACAATGCTTAATTCTTTGTAAAATTATTTCATCATTTTGTTGTTTAAGTTTTCCATTGAATGTGTAATCAATAAAGTAACCGTTCTTTCCTACCTCTAGGAAGAAACGTAAGCTGCACTTGATTCTGATCGATGAATGACTTTAATAGTCAATTACGAATTAGGATGAAAAAACATCTGATGGAGATATGTTTTAAAAGTGTACAAGGGATCAAGTGATGCACCGTTTTTCTAATAATTTAGGAACATACTGTACATTACAAAGTCGAGTATGTTTCTACCGATTTAATTTCTTACCTTGGTGATTTTCTTTGTTGATCGCTGCATTGTTCGCTCCAGCTGCTGCTTGTGATGCCAACTTGTTTTTGTCAGCTTGTCCTGTTTGAAGTCCATTCAAAATGAGCAAAGGAAGGGGATACGAAGGGACTGCTCCTGTCGGCGGTTTCACCGTGTTGCTTCCTAATTGAAAATTTTGTGTAGGAATTGTGACGTTGGGTATAATGGTCGAAATTGCTTTAGTTTGAACGGTAGATTTATTGGTCTCAAGCTGTTTCGGCTTCAAAAGTTTTGATAACGGTGCCGGTTGTAAACTGGGCATTGCTGGAGGAGGCTCTTCGTTAGTTTCGGACCTGAAAAGAAATACATCCTCAGCAAATTTACTCTTAAAATGCACGCGTTTTTCAAAACAAAAGCCAAGACATTGTGATGCAATATATCCTAAATTTTCTGTAAGATTCTACTTTTTATAAACTTCTTACCCATCTTTTACTTTTAATTTGAAGAAATACATGGTAATTAACGACAAAACTTTGCGATTTTTATACTGAAACGAAATTTACTTGACACTTTGATGACATTGACGGAGTAACGAAATCAAACAGTAAACAGTATTTCGAGGCTAACCTTTCCACTCCAGATTTTCTTGTCCCTTCCTCTTCCATTTGTGGAATATGTACCATTCTTTACCGTCAAAAATATAGACAAGGATAATGTTGCGTTTCTTCATTTTAATGCAAATTTGTTTGAAGTTTAAGACGTTTTTCAATTTATTTATTTTTTTCCATGGTTTTTAGCATTGGAATTTGTTTTTAAAGTTTTGGATGACGTATTAGATATACTCATAAGAAAAATATTACGTACAATTATATGACACAATTTAGACCAACTTTTTGGCTTTCATTTTTCGAGAGAAGGTTGCATTTTTTTGTTTTGATTCTACAGGTGTTTTTGTTAACGAATTACAAATTAAGTTGGCGATTGTTTCGTTTACCTTTACCAGCTTTGGTCAACTTTTTTCAAGTGGCCGCTAATTGATAGCTTAATCCAGTGGTGTATCAAAGAACCTGTTAAGGAGCTTCCATAAGAATGCTAACCTTTTTTCGTTTAAAATTCATTATAAAAAGAGACCAGAGGGATGGAGGAAGTAAAATAGGTACTTCCCAAAAGTTATGAATAAAGGAAAAGCATGATTTTTTGTTTGGTTGACTAAATTAGCAAAAAGAAATAAATAATTTACGAACCCGTGTATGCTGTCATTAGTAGCCCAGGATTCCATGTCATCGTTGATGTCAATTTCAATTTCTTGCTTGATATCTTCACAACGGGGCCCTTCGAGGGCATTCTCTTCGGTCCTCCGTTGTCCCTGTTTACTTAAGATGGCGTCCATCGCTTTGAAATGGGGCCAATCAGGATCAATCGTTCCAATCCCGGTACCACAGGTCATGGACCTTTTAATTCGATGATATAGACATTTGAGGTTGCGAATTCGAGTCTTAATTTCGTCTGGTGTTCTGTAAAAACCACGTTGCTGCATGTTGGCGGCCAAAATTCGCATTACAGGGGCTTTTCTATGCGTTAGATACAACTTTTTTTGTATAAAAGGACTACCCCATAGCTGAATCAATAATTTGGTCTCGTCCTCTCGAAAATTTGAGGTACGTTTCTTTTGTAGGGTGCGTACCGCTGGGTCCATCGAAGGAGTAGTACTAATAACGGTTGAAAAATTTGCTTAGTAATTTTCTAGGCGGAAATTTTAACTAATTTCTTTTTTTTTTGTATTTGTTAGATAGTTTAAGACTTAATGTTTTAGTCCACCCGGATTAGTACTAAGTAAGTGTGGATTGTTCGTGTGTTCATGTTTTGAAATTAGTATATATTTAAGTAACTAGAAAACATAATAAAAAAACATTTGCAACGGATACTATTCATGTTACTCTTGGTAAGGAAACATTGTTAGGCAGTAGGCTTAAAAGACCCAGCCGTACAGGGCAGGCCTTCTAACACATTAATAGATATTTCTTTCTATTTTTTTGTTTAAAGAAGAACGGATTGTTTTAATGAAAACCCCTTAACGTAAAATATATTGAAGGTCTGACTACCAAAAGGGGAACACCATTTTGCCAAATGGTTTCGCACGTGCTTTGGCGCAACTGTATTCTTTCGTTTGAAACATTTATACTTTAAAATTTTAAAGGTTATATTGTAGAATCAAAGACAAACGGGGTACCAAACATGATATATTTGATTGAAAAAATAACCAACGACCTTTAGTTATAGAGCTTTACCATTTACAAGGTGAGTTTCAAGGCGGAACGTCGTTGGTTGTTTTTTCAATATTATGGTTTTGATTCTGCAATACAATTGAAAAAATCAGAGAAGAATATTGGAAACTAGTTACTAATGGGTTAGATTTGCAGAACAGTTTCTTTTTTTTTTAGCAAAATGTTTACTTAATTAGTACTTATTTCGTCAGTAAAGAGAGAATGCGCTTGATCAATAATGTTTATGAGAATGCGTAGATTGCGAAATATTTGCTAAAAGTAGGTGCACCAATATGAGTGTCTAAACTCAAATTGCAGCTTTGATATTTACCCAAAATTACAACATCAATTTTTTTGAAATTATTCGTTTAATTGCCATTAGATGCTTGTCTATCAATTAAGTACGTATAAAGTTTTGGGTTTTGGGCATTCCTTAAAAAAACACTGTGCTTTGATAAGATTTTATCCGAAAATTGTTTCGTTATTAAATTTATTGCATCATTATAATTGTACAGAATACGTGGCTTTGTCCCCCTTCCATTCGTCAGGCCGAGTCCACCCTTTTAGCAGACAGACCTTGGTTTCGGGCCAACTAAGACACTCACCTGCTTTAATTCAACTTCGCGCCAACTAAGATCGCTGATTTTCAATGGCACATAGCACATGAAACGATTCGAATTTTAATAGAATTTGCACTTGTTTTTCGCGAAATTGGGCAAATTTTACGTGGAGGTTAATGTTATTTTTCGCGCATTCTGTATAAAACCACCATCGAGCATTCGGTGTCTGAACCCGTCTCAATCACCCTACTGAAATGGGATCGATAATGTGCGAACGCTTGCGCAGATTCGCACACTTAAGTCTCTGCACGGGGTTAGAGGTAATATGCTACTCGGCCCACCTTTATTATCCTTGTCGGAGGGGTGTTTTGATATCGACTGAATCATAGTCGCGTGCGTCGACTTGGACGGGGGTTAAGCAGGGGAAAAGCTCTGCAGTAGCTTTAACGGTTACGCCAGGGGAAACTGCGTGCGCTGGAAATGTTCAGTATTGCGTCAGGAATTGGATTTGTAAACGAAAGGGGTTGATGCTACGGGAAAAACTCTCGCTCTAAAGGGAAATTATTAAGGGCGCAGCACGTGGCTGCGCATTGTTATCAATACGATTATATTTCTGATTCACAACTTTTACCACGTGTTCTTCTGTAGTTCTTCACTTTTTGTCAGTCGGTCGTGGAAAAATTAGTGGAAAATTACACTTTTCGGTTATATTGTAGAAAAGGACGCGTAAAATGCAATAGATTCGACGGTTTAAAAATTAGGACTTGATATTAGAGAAAATGAAAAAAGAAGAAGCGTTTTGCCTTGTAGACAAAATCGAGATACGGAAGATATGACATTCCGGAATTAGCTGACAATTAAATCGTCTAATTAAAAGATTAAAGGGTTCCTCAAGCATAGTTTCAATATTATCCAGTATCAGACTTTTTAGTTAATAATAGATAATTTTGACGTATTCGAGGAGGAACTAAACAATTGCAATCAAATGGTTGGGTTTAAATGCCCGTATTCGGTGCATAGTAACTTTAAAATTTTAATGTTTATAGTATTATTTCATCAAAGGTTTCCCTATATGACATCTGTGAAGTGCTGTACAACACTCTCTAAATTTGGTTCAAATTGTATTCCTAATTGTTAATTTTTACCATGTGTGTTAATTAATTTAGAATATAAGTATCTATAAGAAGGGCACCTCACTGTAATAATATATCTAAACTGTTAAGGATTCTACATAAGTTATCATAATTGTGGTAAAATTCTAATCATGAAAATAATAACAAATAACTCTGCAGGCTTCTTCTTGAGATTTTTTTTTATTTAGGAATGAAACGCTTTAAGGAGAAACAAGTAAAGGAACATTCTTCTTATAACGTAATTTATTGAAAACACTTATAATTATTTATTACAAACGACATATATATATTTTATTTATAATAATAAAAAATCTAGCACATCTTTGACTTTTAAAAACAATCGTATTGTTCTCTTCTTTACAATCTGTTTATCAAAATAAATTTATCGAAATCTTTCACGATTCTATTATTATGATTCTATATACATATGTATTTATTATAAATTCTGAACATTCTCCTTTTCCCTTGATTCGCCATATGTAAACTCAATCCTGGTCTACCTAAGTAATCCTGGTCCAAAGTTAATCTTCAGTTTTCCGATGTCCTTAGAATTTCCCGATAATTTTTTCCCAGTTTCGTATCTTTTCCAAAGCATCTTTGGCTGCTATCCCCATCATCCCTTCCGCAGAAGAAGGGGATTCTGAGCCTAATATGATATTTGCTTGTTCTAAACACTTTACCACCTCTTTTAAACGCCTTCTAAGTTCGGATTTGGTAATATCCTCTTGTTCATATTGGCGTGTCGTTAATATCATTATGGGGGCATGTAATTCATACAATGTTACCCCTGTAATAATTATGTTTAGCCAATGTGAATTCCGTTTTCGTTAGATATAATTCATTTAATTTTATTAATGATTTGGAAAAGATTTCCGATGGTTGTGATAACTTACCTCTTAATCTCGTATATCCTGGTTCAATTATATCGAATATTTTCATTATTTCCCTACAAATTTCCCGTTTCCGAGTCAGTTGCTCGTCAGTGAGTTCGTTTATTAAATATCCATTTATTTTTCCATAAAGTTGACTTAAGGATAGTTTCACTCCAAGACACAGGTAGTGCGAGGGATGTAAAACATTTCTGTACTTTTCCAAAAATTCTTCCATCCTTTCGATATCGTTACAATCTATGGAATCCACTTCTTGAGTTATTCTAAAAGGTTTATCGAAAGAGGCTTGTAAGAAAGTCAAACAATATTATACAAAAACAGGCAATATTCCAAAAAATTACCTTATTGAACTATTATTTGACTTCTTTGTTTCTTACCTGTTAATTAATAGTTTCATGGATTTCGCAGTGACCCTGTATCCAGGACAACGATTTTCCGATTCTTGAGTTTGACTATTATTACAAGACCAAGCTGCTTCAGGATCCAGCGGGTTGGTAGACAGAACCCATCCCTTCTCGCACTTGGGACACCTAAGGGCGCTGGTAAATGTGCCCAGCTCCGTGGGATCCGAACACCTTTTACACATGCACTCGAAAAACTTGTTTTCGAGGAGGTGTTCTCTGCGTTTTAAGGTGCCCTAATTATGATTCAATGTAACAGTTTAGTGAGGGAACCTTTTTAATCGTTCTGGTCGTTTTTCGCCAGAGGCATTTGTATAGATATGCTCATAAACTTTTGAAAAGTTTGACGTTGTAGTGGACGGGGTTAAATAAGGAAAAACTAACTTGATTTGACGTTAATTAAATTGTTCGTACTTTAATTTTAGGTTAATGAATTCTTAGAACCGCATATTCGCTTACCTGTAAGGTGTAAGCATAACTTAAAGTTATCGGTTGATTTTTTGAAATTGGCAAAGATGCTCTAATTGTTAACCTAAAATCCTTTTCTTCGTCATTATGATTTGTATTTGGTACGCAATCATGTGATAATAGGAATGCTGAAGGATATAATCCACGAATATTGACTCCATTTTGACCTATTTCGAAAGCATTCACCTGATGAAGAAGAATGTTTAGTGTCGTACCCAAATTGTTTGACAAGTCTGGATGGCACTACCATCAAATGCTTCTTACCTCCAAAATGCCACAAATGGTGTGTATTTCTTCCTCAGTATATTCCAAAAGTCCCCAGTCATTCCTGATCTTCTCAACAACCGTTTTTTGATTTCCATTCCAAACTTCGGGAATGTTGGCCCTTATTTCATTATGGGCCTCCATATTCATTAGTTTTTCATAACCACTTGGATTTAACGATTTCAAAAGAAGACACCTCAACGGTACTAGTGCATGGAGGTTAATTTTTAAGTCGTCGAAATTGGCATAATTCAAAAAATTACTCGACTTGGTTTCTTTTAAGATATTGCACTCGCTGGTGGAATGGCCGTAATATTGGGAAATTCCGGAACATTTTGGTGAACATAAAGGCCAGCCGCAGTTTTTGCATCTAGTGTAAATAATTTAATATAAAACAAAGATGTTGATATATAAGGGAGCTAATATTGAAATTGGACACTAAAAGCCAGAATAAGTCGATGATTTTCGATGTACAGAATTCCAAATAAGTGGGAAGAGAAAAAGCAGTAGACTATTAGTATTAGCTTTTAAGAAAAAGAATCTCGGTTAATTTAGGAATTCAAAAAATATTATTAAGAGTGCATGTCTGGAAATGTGGATGGTGGAAGTGCGGAAAAGTAAAAATTAGAAGCGTTTGATGTTATAGGCGGATGCCAAAACCACCGTAGTTAGAAAAGGTAAAAATGAGGAAGTATTAGAAAGAGTAGGAGAACAACACATTTTAACACATGAGGCGTTATTCAGAGAGATATTAGTATCTGAAATAGGATTAAAGAGAGGCATAAGAGGAATATATAGATTAGAGTACTGTTGGCAAACAGGAATGTGGTATGTTTAGTTTTAATGAAATGGGAAGAAAGTGTGGAGCTGCACGTTCAACTAGGCTTTGGACTGATGTCTCTGTGACGATAATCTCTTCAACAGAAACGTAAGAGTTCTGCTTATTGCGAAAAACGTAAAACTTTTATTTGTTTAATTTTTTTCTGGTAAAGCTCCTTTTAGATTAGCAATTAAACATATAAGCCAAACTTACTTGTGGTACTTATCCTTTTGGTTTAAGGTTTGATAACAACCTAAACATTGAACTTTACATCCAGTGCATGGGCCTACGACTAGGGGTGTTTCAGATACTATTATTTCTCCAGGTTCAAAATATCTTGCAGCCACCATATATCTAACAATTTAAAAGTGAAACACTAATCACTTCGGATAAAAGTTACTTTTTTAATATGTTGGTATTAAATTGGAATGGAAGCTCTCAAGATTCGGGGAGTACCTAGTATTCCCAATTTCCCTAGTCCCTTCCTATAGAATTATCTAGCTAGGTGGTCGTAAGGCAGATTTGATATTGATGTGTATAAACATTTTGAGGTGTAGAATCATAAAAATTGAAATTTTATTGCTCAAACTCAAAAAAAAAACTTCAGTGATATTTTTGGAGTCCACTAGAAATAAGTTATGGACAATGTAATTGAATTGAAGGATGATCGTTGTGGTTGAATAAACTTTTGTTGATCGGCATAATGATGAACTTGAGAGTCTTAGGTATTAATATAACACGTTAAATTGAATCATAAATTAGATCATTAATCGATTACTTGGATCGATTCCAATGAACCGCAAGCACATTTTATATGGATCGAAACACACGCATGAACCGTTCAGTTTTGTTTACGTAATTTGACAACAAACATTCGAAACAAGACAATGTTGCCTTTATATCTAAAAATGTATGTTACGAATGATGTATTCCATTTTGCGTTGAAAATTCCTGTTTTTTTAATACGCAATTAATTTTATCTATTCTTCAATCTTTTCGCATGCAACATCGATTGACGACGAGATTAAGATAAACAACATTTACCACCTGCGTGATTTCTCAATTTCTGCAGTTTAATGGATTCCGACTATTCCTTAGGAAAATAAAATTTTGATGAGAAATTTATGGAATATATATATCCACTAAAAAAGCTGTGAACATAATGTTTGCTTTCATTAGTCAATCAACTGTCAACAGTTTGTGTTGATAATTCCTTTTAAAATTTTAAAAGGAAGGATTATTTTTATTCTATACAGAATGGTCATGTCACAACGTATTGAATAATATTATTAGAAAGACAAGACACGCAAATAAAATGTTACCAAGAAATAGGTCATTATCGTTTTGAATAATTTATAAAAATATAGACAAAATGGTATTTGAAGCACTTGCGCACAAACGGGTCTGGATTTGAAGGATCGTGACCCCTCTCTGCCCGTTCACTTCTTGTGATGGGGATGATTAGTTATGAAATAATTTTTGAAACTAAATTTAATGATAGGTAGTTCTTTTGTCCTTTAAAAAGTTTGGAAACACAATGTTAAAAAATACAAAATATAAAACAGTAATTGTTGTTTTATTGGTAATGAATTAGATTTTTAGCTAAAGTGACGCAAAAAGTGTTCCGTTTAGAACTTTGTGTAGATATGCAAACGATTTCAATGTCAGTGTTATGGTCAGAACGAGCGCGAGCCAAAAAAGTTGCTGTACCTAAATAAAAAAACATAAAACAAAAAATTACGTCAGACAATTAAACGGTTGCTTCAAACATTATCTAGCTTGTTTAAAAGTTCTTTTCGGGTTGATGCACTAAAACGTATACCCATGCTTAGAGTACAGGTTTTGTTTTACTATAAATTTCTAAATTTAATATCAAAATAAGGAAAAATTGGTCTCCGCAATTGAAGTTATCAAAACTGCTGTCCATATTTTGTTCTTTGGAAAATAGAGACCATCTACAATAGAAACCTGAACTCTGTCATCTGGCTGCTTTAATTATGCACTACAGTTATATTATCAGCGAACACAGCTGTTTACTGATACCACCCAGGGATTAGCTGCGTGGAATTTGTTATCAAATTTCTAAAAACCTTTTGCTTTTACTGTTATATATTGTGTTTTTGAAGATAACGTATCAAAGATCTGAGAGAAGATACAGACCCCTAGGTACATAGGTTTAAAAATCGATCATGAAAAATAATTATGTAAATAGGTACTGATAGGGTTGTCTCGTTTCTATAATCCACGTCATTCATTCTTGTTTATAATGCCGTTTATAAAATCACAACTGTGCATTATCTCATTTGTATTTTTGCCAAAAATTTAGATGCTTTATTGTTCATGTTGAAGTTATTAAAATAGAATATTTAATGGTAGACGCTTTTCGCGAACACTATAAAGTAAACATCATGTACGGTAAATTTAGATATCTTTTAGATTGTTTACATACATGATTGGTATGGCAAAATTATGTCGGCGTGGATGGTATACGTACCTTCCCATAACCTTGGAGTTTTTGATGCGAAAATTCAATTCCTTTTCCTTCTTTTCCTTGCTGGAGTTCTCATCATCGTTGTTATTGTTATTGATGGGAATCAACGTATCTGAACCTTTTCTGGATTTCTGCCTCTAAAGAAAAAGACACAAGGAATAAGAAAATTGACGCCCAGAAAAGAGTACTAAGTGACCAAAACTGAAGAAATGCGTTCAAAGACTATTGAGAAATTGCGTCTACATCATTGATATAATCTCTGCAGGCCAATTCAAAAATTATTCTAAAAAACTTCGTTTGCCGCATAATAGATATTCCAGTTTATTAGCTCATTGTAATACAGTGTCTAATTGAAAAGGTAACTGATTTTATAAAGACTAGTTACAATCCGCCACGCCATTTTTGAATCCAATCATGTTGGTGAGAGTTTCAGTATGTGACTTTTTAAATTTTTAAGGTGTTACACGGTTAGTTTGTTCGTAATGCCATAAAATGTGACAGCAATTATTCAATGTCAATCGAAAATCAATAATGGAAGAACGTGATAATCTTAAATTCCGTATAAAACTGTCACTGAGGCTTTAGAATTAGTGAAGATTTGAAAACTAAAGGTGTTTATAGGCGATTTTCAGAGTTTTGTTATGAGAAAAAAGCATTGAATACAATGTACGTCCAGGTCAATCTATAACTGGGCAGTCACTTAAATTCTTCGAAAAGATCGGTCGTACCCTTACCAGGTCCATCGAGGACATCACTGGCATTCTCAAAACAACGGTTCATCTCATTTTCAATGATCAAAAAAATATTAGGGGGTTGAACATTGCCGATACGTGAAAAGAACAGGTCATATGAATCCAGACCTCATGGCTACTATCGTAATTGCTGTAGGAAACGTGGTGTTTTTAGTATGAATCACTAACAAACGGACCAAGTTCAGAGAAGAAGAGTCCAGAAAATCCAAAACCAAAAAAAGTTCAAATACAATAGGATTTTTCATAAAGAAGTTGAAACAAGACGTTCATATAATAGATATCACAGAATTGGATTGGAATGTCGAAAGCCAAATTCATGGTCTTTGCTGCATGATAATTCATCAGCTCACAGAATTAACATAACCTCTCGGTGAATTTTTGGTCAAAAAGGTACCGTATTCTTTAAACGTTCTCCTTATTCACTTGGTCTGTGACTTCCGGCCATTCTCAAATTTAAAAGTAGGTACTGTTGAAGGGAAAGCATGTTGATTAATTCTAGTCATTCAAAAGAAGCAATTCCAGAAGAACATCATATCCCCTTTCAGTTACCTTTCTATTTGAACACTGTAGGCATCATGAAGTAGTATGAATGATAGAATACGCATCGTAGGTCACTGATGGATTGGTCTCTTCGTAAACTCTCAATAATTAGTACTTTGTTTTCAGTTGATACGAGCTTTCTGTTGTTACAAGTGCGCTATCTATGGACTTATTTGGTACATTAAATTAATCAGGTTGTGCAATAAGTTTAGAGACATGTTACAATGCCAAGTGCAATGGACGTGCTTTTTCTGGTTTAGCGTAAGAGTGGTGCAATGGGAAGATTGTGAAATCTGGATTTTTTTCGCTTCTGCAGGCAGGTTAAAATAGCAAGTGTGGTTTAGTGAAACAGTGGTGCAATAGGAAGATTAATATAATTCGAAGTGGTCTGTATTCTGTCGAAACTGCCAGACGCGGATCGCGATTTCGATCTTTTTGGATCTCATCAGCGCGTCGCAGACAGCTCCGACAGAACACAGACCAACTTTTACCTGGTGTCTTAACAGCGCGATTTAGAAAATACCACAAATGGCGCGGTAAACGCCATCTGTAGTACGATGCTACATTTTAGGATTATGTATGCTCCAACAAGGTCCATTATGGTATTTTCTAATAGGAAGATTGTTTGGATTTGGATTTTTTCACATTTACCAGATATTTGAAGGGGTCAAAATTCAGTTTTAATTAATGAGTTACAATCCCTACACGTTACAAGTAGGGAGAATGTTTTCGGGCATTATTAAGGATGTGCCTCTAGGGCAGACCAGTTATAATTAAAAATTTATATCGGGTTGAGTTAATACTCAGGGTGGGTCAGCTTTTAATAATTGGGCCTTGGCCCACTTGGACCCATTCATAGCTACGTCCCTGAATTTGACCCTTATAATTGTCTTTTATATGGCAAAGGCTGGCACATAGTCTAATTTTGTCGCTCATATAGCGCTATAAATCAAAGAAAGAGCATGAAGAATACGCAGTGTTTATTCCAAGGTGTCGTACATTACGTTTTTCTTACACACTGGTGCGTCTATATTTGACTAGAAAATCTTTTTCAAATATTTCATGTTTCCTTTTTGAACAGCAGGACTGATACGGCCCTATTGTATATTTTGTTATAGTAAAAGAAAGCTATTACTGCCGCTTCTGTATGATTTCAAATGTACGATTCGTATAATATCTATTTTGAAATATTTGCTTCATCTATCTTTGATGTCGAACGTATGCAGTTCCTAAACGATAAAATCATCATGTGAAAAGCTGTAAAACAGTTCTCACGAAGTAATAAATTAATATTTTTGCATTTGTTGTCTTACAAGAAAAGACATCTCCTTTCTTTTTATTTTGAAACTAATGATTTCCTTATTTCTTCTGACATTAAAATCCAAGGCATGAATCTATTTTTGTGAACAGTTTGTTTTACTGAAGCACTTACCAAAAAATGTCAGATTTAAAAATACGTTTTTCATGAAAAATGGTGTACAAAAATTCCGTTTCCAGGTTTTAATTGTCTGTGACATGTACATGTTGAAGATGCAGAACTGGGAGACATTGTTTGAATTATTTTTAGTTTGTTTAACGTTAACAACTTTTCTGGAGAGATATTTATGAGTTTGATTCTGATCTTCAAACAAAATTGGCATTTCTAGAATGGAAATGATCGTTGTGCTTGTTAATTAAGGTAGATGATGTAAATCTAGATGTGATGACCTGTTTATCAACAAATCCTTTCAAGTTTAAACTTGTTTACGAATTCAATTTAAACTACAGAAAATAGATTCTCCATTTCAAAGTGATTACATGCCAAAAATAATTTTTTATTAACATTTTCGAAATTGCAATGCATTTTTGAGTAGCTATTTGTATAGACAGTTACTTTCATTCGTAAGGATTTTCTTGTAATTGAAGAAATAAGAAGAAAGTTCTATCTTTAATTTTTATTTCTAATTAAATGGCTCATTAATAATAACAATGGTCCGCGGTGGAACTGAAATTCTTCTTCCGAAGTCAAAAATAGAAAGTCATAAGTAGTTGAACGAGTTGGGGATGTTGTTTTGGCAAACTTTGTGGCGCCAAAGGATCAAAATTACGAAAAAAGTAATCTACATACCCTTCTTCGATGCAAAGACATATTTCTCTATTTGTAGACGGCAAATTCGTACGCGTGTGACTAACAGAGATTCTATTCGTGGTCGGCGACGATGTAACTTTTTCTTTATTCTGAACTTGTCGAGTCGTTCTTCATTACTAATACGGCAGTATGAAGAAGAAAAAGCAAAAGAAGAAGTTTTTTCTGATTCACGAACAGTATTTCAGTTCTAAATGCATCAGCAGTGACACTTCTTGGCACAGATAATATATTTTTGTGGTAGGTATCTCGCGAGCGCTTCTAGTTTGCGTTCTCAACGGGATGTCGAAGGTGGCTATGAATATATATATAGATTCGGCGATTGTTTGCCGGCCGGGCGGGCGTCCGTACGTCCCTTCCATGGATTACTTTGTTCTAAGTTGTGGGAGACGCCAAATCAGTGGCGGAGAAACAATTTCACTCGGTGCATGGTCAATATAGCACACATTCCTTCTAATTTTAGACAAAAATATGACCACATTTTCTATTGTAATATTGAACAATCGTCGGCCCTGAACTTTTGGATTATGGAAGAAGAAATGTTCGCTTTGTTTGTTTTTCACATGTTAGCAGATGATTGAACATTGCAAAACATGAAAAGATCTGGTCGTATGAATTCGGACATTATGACTAGCATAGAAGCTGGTTTGTGGAACTTGGCGTTTCGAGTATGTACCATTAACAAAGCGATCAAGTTCAGGGTAGGTGAGTCCAAAAATTTAAAACCAAAGGAGTTCGAATGCCAGAGGAATCTTTTATAAAGAATTTTTGCCAGAAATTGAAACTGTTGATGTTCAGGTGTTGCTATTTATATTTTCGAAGACGTTTACATGATAGATATCATAAAATTTGACCAAAACTTCGAAAGCCAAATTCGTAGTCTTTGCTGCATGATAGTGTATCAGCTCACAGAATCAACATTACTTATTGATGGAGTTTTGGTCAAAAAGATATCAAATTCCTCCACCATTTTGTATATTCACTTGATTGGGCTGCTTCTGACTTCTATCTATTTCCAAAATTCAAATGATTGTTGAAGGGAAGGCGTTTTGATTCATCTCAACCATTCAAGAAACTCTAACCGAGGTCTTACAGGCAATTCCAAAAAGTAACACACACTTCTTGCTAATTTTATACAAAAAGTTCGATCACAACTATCATTATTTAAAGCATATATTTTTCTTATGTAATACTCGATGAGTTCTGTTGATCGTGAGGTTTAGGGTTCTTTGTTTAAGATTATTTGTCAGTATCAGAGGTGCTCTCAGTTTCGCATATGATCGAAGACGAAACAGCACCAACAGTAAAACTCCAAACCGCATATTGTACCTCAAATTTGTTTTAAGTCTAATTTTTGTGTAGACCAGAACTATTAAGTGATCAAAACTAAAAAGTAACCCACTAGTATTCAATATTTTCCCGTGTAACCTTGTCCATTTGGACTGTAATGTGCTTAGAGACTTACAATTAGATCTAGTTTTGATGCCAATCCTGAGCCTCTAACTGAAGTGGACTGTTCTTGTTCCTGCCCATACCATAATAAATTGTAGAAAAGTGTTTATATGCTATATATTTGAGCTTTATGTGTTCTCCAAAGTTATAAAATAAAATTAGATCGAGAATATGGACACGTGTAAATACTTCAAATAAAAATTTAATTGCTTTTCCTGACTGCTGACTGACATAAAATATATGAAAGTACGTTCACCTTAATAGGATTTAACAGTTTGTACTTTTAGAATAGAAAAACAAATTTAGTTTTAAAAAATAGGGGAATAAAGGTGTGATAGGCATACGACATCTTTTGTTACAAAATTTTGGTGGTGAAATTTGGTAGACAAGAATGTAACCTATTAGGTAGGAAACAGTGTTGTTTGGTTCGTGAACATTTTGATTCATTCATAATTTTTCGTATTTAGTAACTTTTTTATGAGAAGAACAATGTAGATTTTATATTGCTGAGTATCCAATGTTTTTACCTGTGATCATCAAAAATACAATAATTTGATTAATTAGTTTTTATGTCTTGACAAGAATGATCAGGATGAAATTAAACATACGCGTAGAAGGATAGAAAATAAACTTTCGTCTCCGTCGGGAATAGTATTCCATTCTGGATAAAGCGTATCCTATGTCCTTTTCCTACCCCTAACAATGTGTGTAAAAAATTTCATGATCGGATGAAGGTGTGAAATAGTAGCAAACAAATAATAAAGAAACAGATAAACTCATCATATTCGCATTTACAATACCTATTAGTTAGGATTTTATTTGTAAAAAGTACCTTGAAATATGATTTGCTCTATTTATATTGCCATTCTTGCCACATAATGCATGCTTCAGATATATGTGTAATGATTTTTTTATGATTTAATCATAAAGGGATAGATCTAGCATTGATTTTTATTTAGTTTAAGTGGCGCCATAAACTAGATTGAGGTGAATATGAAACCATAAAAAAGTCATAAACTGCTTATTTCTGGAGTCTGTAAGTGATCGTAATAAATAAAATACAGTTCCTTCAGATATTTTATATCTGATGCAGCCAATTCCAATATAAATTGCTATTTTCAATTCTGCATCGGAGTTTCTTAAAATAGCGGTGTGGTCTAAAAACCAATGTTTGGACAGATTGTAATGCACTGGATTGTGTGTTATATAAACAGATAGTTTAAGGATATTAATTTTAATGGTTTGTATGAATAAATTACCCCACTATCTTTAGTTTCTAGTTAAAAGGTAGCAGTTATTGGATGTGATGCGTATCAAACATGTTAAAATAATGGAAGAAACAAATTCTCACCATAGCCTATCAAACCTAAACTAACCTAACCCTACCTAATGTAGCCATTAAATGTACTAAAAGCTTCAAAAAGGGACAAAGACACATTCCGTGAATGTCTTCCTAATTCTTTAACTGAAGAGAGCCTAAAAAAAATCTAAAATCCTTGAAAAAGGATAATCTAAAACATCGAAAGTTTAATTAGCCGTATTTGAAACCGGCGTTGGTTTCAAAATCACCTAGGCGGAATTGAGAGTAGCGAATTATACGTATCTAATAACTGCGACACACCAATTAATTGTGGTTATTGTCTATTATTGGTTTTGAATTATCTAATTGTAGATTCTTATTACATCAGTTTACGTTATACGAACTTTAAATTATTGAAGATTAAATAAACTTATCTGCTTTTTTTTGTTGCTTTCTTGTCATTCTTGCAGATGTTCTGATGAGAATTTTTTATGAATAACCTCTATCGCAGCATAAATGGTCACAACACGATAAATAACCAGATATTATATGAAGGTATTTACGTATTTGTCACATATTTATTCATGTTGCTGTTTTTATCGCAGAAATAGGATTTGACTTGTTGCCCTTTTTAGTTCATTGCTCACAATTAAAAAGTGAAAGTAAAAGGGAAAATGGGTATTTTGTATTTAGTATTTGCATTATAATTGCAAGTATTCAAATAAATCATATCTTTCGTCACCTTATTGTACCATTTTCTATTTCATGAACTTGAAAATAAGTCATATTGATCCATGAAATAGAAAATTAATGACAAGAAGTTTTATTGATGGAATTTTTAGGCGGGACAAACTGTACGTTCAGTATTCTATTTTTTTATCACCTTGGATTTTACTTTGCCACTATGCTATAAGATTTGAGGTTATTTGTAGCATGTACAATTAATTAAAAAATTAATTCACTTTTGGAAAGTTCGTTATTTTCCTGATGCTGTCTTGATTCGGGCCTATTGGCTGTCGTCGGTTGGAGTTGCTTCCACGTCGCTAGTTCACATCCATCATCGGAGATGGAAGGACTTCTGAAGGAGCTCGCTACTCATGTTAGCGAAACGTTAGGAATAACTCCAACCGACGATGGCCTTTAATTTTCTTATTATTTACCATTATAAACTTTTAGACGTTATGGTTTTCTATACTGAAGTTCCTCACAGAGTTCATGGTACTTCCTCCTCAGTCAGGGGTTACCTCATTGAACTGAGGAAGAACTGTAGGATACTGAACATAAGAATTTGCAAATTTTTAGCGCGACAACCATTCGCTTGAATAAACTGTACCGACTGTTTCTTTTTTATTGTTAATCGCTTGCATTATTAACAGATTGTACAACACAAAACAAAAGCACAATAATGGAACATCTACTCAACAATGTTTGAATTCTGTTTCAATTGTTGCAACTTCTAAATTAGAGTAGGCAAGTGGAAATTTACGTACTATACACATTTTCCCAGTAGCCATTTAATAAATTACCATAATGTAGAAACATGCAATGTAAAAGTTAAAGTGTACACCATGTGCATGTTTCTGTGAAACGAATGTTACAACCTGGCATTGTATATGCAAATCTGATGGTTATGAATAATTTAAATAGTTTTGCCAGCAAATTTAGACACCTCAAACAATGAGCCAATGCATCGACAGGAATTTAAATACATAAAGTAAAACATTTGTTTGGTTATATAGACGTTTTACAGCTCGAACGTAAAGGCATGTAATCGTTTTTATATGGTCGAAACACCATTTTTCTGCAACTTACGCAGCCAACTATGTATTTAAGTAACGAAAATTTTAGAATAACAGTAAAATTAAAGTACTTTTTTAGGGTTCATATAAGAAATATCGACGCTTTTTACGTTTTACTAGCAAACTATTCTTAGTTTCATTGTAACAAAACTTGAAAATACGTTTTCCTTTAAAAACAAATTTTATTTTGCTACCAGAATTTTACAAAATGTTAAAACACATGTAGTTTTTTAGTAAAGTCAAAATTGGTGGTACCCATGTAGGAAGTCACGACAGGACCAAGATTGTCCAAGCATGACAAATGCCCGGTTTCTTATTTTGGCTCAAGCCTGGTTGATAAGTTTGGTTCACAACTGAGTATAGTTTGGACCATCAAAATTGGTAAAGTTTTTCTTGGTTCCACTAGGGACTGCAGCCAATTGTTGCGTTTTGAGCACGCCATTGCTTAGTTAGGAAATGCTTCATGAGTAGTACAGACAAAGAAAAGAGATAACCCAATAATAGTAAGCACGTAAGTAGTGCAGTGGTTAGAGATTGCTTGGGTATACAAAATATCAGGGTCGGCTTTATAACTGTCTGGTTGAAATTATATCTTTAAACAAGCGTTTTTGCTTTCCTGAGAAAGTTGAACTTTCTTTAAAGTCCGATGCTGGCAAAATTATTTTTGTTTGCATCTCTTTCTGTTACACATCAATTGGTGCAATGTTATTCCTTTTTCTTTATGTGTCCGCTGCAATTCCTACC